CTCTCGCTCCCGCCTGCCTTATCCTGCCTGCTCGCTGCCGCCCCCTCACTCCCTCCAGATTGCTCCGCCCGACTTCTTGACAGCTGTGGTGGTGTTTTTTTTTTTTTTTTCCTTTTCACATTTGGACTATTTCTTGAGTTATGCGTGTCATCCTTGCGGAGAGGCCATGCTAAACCAGAAGGACAAGTACAGATACAGGGTACTAATTTTTTTGAGGCCCCGTTTCCCGAAAGTTGGTAGCCTGTATCCGTAGCATAAAAGACGGTGCGTTATATTCGAAGAGATCACACCTCGTGCATTCTATATTCGTAATGAACGACCGTGCGTTTTGTTCGGGGGAAGACTGTAGTCCAAACCCTTAGAGAGTAATGGCAGTAGGTCCAGGAACCCACAGGGTGTGTTCTATTCGAATATAACGCACATGTTTTACGCTACGGAACCCAGTGCATCACAGCGATGCAAACCACTTGTAGATACACACTCAACCAGGGAGTGTCTGTGACCAATGCTGGCAGCAGTAGAAGTTTGGGAGAGAGCAGAAGGGCACGAGGGGAAAGAGAGAGGGCCTCCGAGTGATACCGGAACCGGCTTCCAACGCCGTAAGCAGAGATCTCGTCACAATCACAAACAATAGCAGCACTTTGTGTGCATGTCTTGCTATTCAAAAAATGGGCGGCGCAGACAGTATGCGGCCGGCTCAATTCGAATCAGAACTGTGAGGTCATCCTACTTGCTATGGCAACTGTCATTGAGAACAGAGAAACTCAAAATTGTCAGACTGTTAAGTTTCGTTCACTCACTCAAATCAAAAATCGATCAACTCACAGGGTGATGAAGATGGGTGCCACCATAGCCAGGTAAGTACCTCTGGCAAGATTTCCTAAAGGTTTCTTCGCAAGATTTCCTGAAGGTTTCTTCTACCCAACAGACAGAGAGAAGGATTAACACCAGCTTCGACGAAATGACGCTCTGCAGTACCCCAAAAAAGTAGCAGAGCGCGAAACACTTCCACATTCCCAAAACGTCACAGGCACCAAAAGGCTCATCTACATAGGCTTTTGCCTATTGCATGTAAAGAGGGTGCACAGAGGCAAGGCTATATTCTGTTATCGATCAGTCCTCACGATTCCTCAGCTATTCTTCACTGTTAGATCAATCCTCAGAAACTCGGCAGCAGACGACTCATCTATTGCGCGCGTACAGAAGGGGGCAGGTGTAACTTACACAAGAATGCTCAGCTGTTTCGCCGCACACGTGCTTAACGTCAAAACACCGGTCAGCTCCGCAGGTGTGCACCGAAAGGATTGACTAACTGTTCTCTTGTCTCGCAGCCTCAGATATTCACTGCAAAAGAGGTTTCCCATTCAGCACCAAACAACGCTCTCTCCCAATCGGCACTGAAAGGCACTGTAATCCTAGAAGGCTTGACAGCACCAAAAGATCAACTTGCAGCGGGGTCCAAAGACCCCCATGCAATAAAGATCAACTTGCATGATGTAGTCAATGAGTAGGTAGGTGGGTGAGTGGATGCAAAAGAAATGGAAGGGGGAGGGAGGAGAGGGGAAGGGAGAGAAAGCCAGGGCAGGGGATGGGAGGGAGAAGTGATGACAACAACATGGCCATTCGAACAGCGATTCTGATGGCTCCATCATGTATTTAGGAGGCTTTCCAAATGTAGAAAAAAACAGAAAGAGGAGGGGGAGGAAGGGGGGAGACTAGGAGGGAGGGGAGAGGAGACTTCCCAAACTCAAGACTCTGTAGGAAAAACAGAAGATGGGGAGGAAAGGGGGGAGGGGGAAGGGTGGGGAGGGGGAAAGGGGGGGAGAGAGGGGACGGGGGGGAG